AAAAGTGGAATTAAAAAAAAAAAGGGGGTGGGAAAATTTTTTTTTCCCCTTGGTAAGGGGGAATTTTAAAAAAAAAAAAAAAAAAAAAAAAAAAACTGCCACTGCAAACCACTTGCACAAGTGTCAATCAAATGGGGCAAAGATCAAAAACTCTGGAAAGAATCATAATTCTTTCCAGGAAACTCTCTGCCCCACTGCTGTTCTGCATAGGTCTGAACCCCCTCAGCCAAATCATCAATGCGAGCCATCCCGTCCTTCCAAACAGACTCTAGGATGGTGGCTCATGGGATCCTCCCGGTCAGAGCCGTCATGCACTCCCGCGACATCTGCCCCCGACCCGGAGTCGGTGAGGCCCCTTCTGTGGGAGTGCAGCGCTGCTGTGGACCTGTGGACAAAGGCCGGCTCCTTGCAATTCCCATACTTGCCAGCAAGGGAGGTCCTCAACACGCAGCTAATGCTGCACGGGGTGAGCCACCGTAAAATAGCAACAAAAGACTTCACGGAGATGTGGCTCACCCAAGCCACCATATGGACCTCCAGAAACTTGCTGGTAAGCAGGCGCAGGCAGATGCCCCTCCGTGGCTGTGATCCAAATGGTGGCAACAAAAAGAAAAACATACAGAGCTACAGGTGCCGCGCCTGTAGCTCAAGGACACAGCCACAAAGAAGAATCACCTGCGCCTCTTTGGACGAAGGAGCAGGCGTTCCACGGACAGAGGTCCCAGCAGCAGCGGCCTGGTTCTCTGGGTGAGGCAGGTGGGAAGGAGCAATGGGGGGGAAAGCCCCTCTGACCACCATCGCTGTTTGAAAGGATGGGATGGCTCCAAACTTCAAAAGAGACTGGCTACGGATACCGACTCAAGAATGCAGCCACCAAAAGTCTCCTCCTCTACATGGATGACATCAAGCTGTACGCCAAGAGCGAGCGAGACATCGACTCACTGATCCACACCACCAGGATCTACAGCACTGACATTGGGATGTCATTCGGACTAGAGAAGTGTGGCCGGATGGTTACAAAGAGAGGGAAGGTCATCCACACAGAAGGGGTCTCACTCCCAGATGGAACAACAGCAGACATAGAGCACAGGCGCAAGTACCTGGGAATACCACAAGCAAATGGCAACCTCGATGAGGTCACAAGGAAAGGAGCCACAGCCAAATACCTCCAACGAATAAGGCAAGTCCTGAGAAGCCAGCTCAATGGCAAGAACAAGAGCCGTGCAATAAATAGCTACGCCTTACCAGTAATCAGAGACCCTGCAGGAATAATTAGCTGGCCAAAGGAGGAGATAAACACCACAGATGTTAAGACTCGGAAACTACTAACCATCCATGGAGGGTTCCATCCCAAATCCAGCACCCTGACTGAACACGAGCCGTAAGGAAGGTCAATAAGGCAGGTGATTCCTTGAGTTTTGGTTTTCAAAATTGAGGGAACCAAACCTTTAGAGAATCCTAAAGACCTTTATAAAGGCCCCTCTTAGAGGATTAAGAGGCAGAGCGACCACAAAGCTGATTTGTTGGATTCTGTGAAGACGTTTGCAGTCTGAAGAGGAAATCCCACCCAATTCAGGAAGAATGGGTCTAAGCGATTCCAGCACGTAATCTCCTCCTCAGGGTGAATTGTTTGGAATTAAATGCTGAACGTAAATCTTTTGTTGATAAATTACAGGCATTAATATGTTTCATTTTTCTTTTGTGGGTTTGAATATATAAATAAAAAAATTATTTCTTAAAAGGATCAGTCAGTTAATACATTTTATTTATAAGGGACCCTTTCGTACTAAAATCAGCTCTAAGAGTTGTACCAACAATTAGCCCTGAGGTTTCTCTGACAAACTTTTCCACAAACAGCAGCCATAATACTGGATGGATAATAAATGACTAAAACTATATGATCACGTAAAAGGTTAGAATAAGATTCATAAATATAAATGTATATGTATAGAAAACATCAAGGAAAATGATAAAACAAACCCTAATCGATTTCTATTTTCTTTTTCTCTTTCCCTCTGTCTGAGCCTCCCGTGGTTCATCTGACCTCTGACCTCAACTCCTCAAACCTGTCCTCCCATGGACCAGATGATGTCCCTCCTACAAAACCAGCCGATGAAAATGATCGAGAAGATCTGGAGGATCAAGAAGACAAAGAAAACCTCCATCACCCCCAGGGGACAACTGTCAGTCTCCTGTTGGGCATTTGGGCTGAAAACTGTGTGAGACTGAGCTTTAACAACCTCGGCTGGTCTGCTGTCCAGTATCAGGATAGAGGAAGAAAAGCTAAACATGCTTCAGAGCTGTGAGAGAAGACGACTCTGAACTATTGACGCTTGTTTCATCTGTGGACAACATGGACATTTCCTGAGGGACGATCTGAACAACCCAAAGATCCAACGCCAGGACCAGTTGGACTGACAGGAAGCCGGAGGAGAGAGACATGGGAGGATTTCACTGCAGCAACGCCGAGACCAAGTGGAGGAGAGGGGCAAGAAGGAACAACCTGAATCCACATCAACCACTGTGAAGGATGACCTGTCTGTAACGTCCATCTAGATCATGACTTTAAATCTGACACAGCAACAGAGTGAGCAGCAAAACTTCACTCTACCAAGTACCAAGTACTTCAACTTTTGACACCAGAGAGGACAACGTCCAGAGCAACAGCGAGTTTGGATGTTTCTGAAAGGCTCTCCACTAAGAACTATTGCTGGTCCACTGGCGAGTGACCGAAGCGGAGAGTGAAGATTCACACTGTCCTGTTATCCTTAAATATGCTTTTGAAAGAGAAAATCAACTTCAGAAATTAATTGGTTTTTCATGTTTAATTTTGACCAAAGACAATGAAATCAAATGTTGCCTGGTGGTTTATAACTTGGGTTTATTTAGAATCAAAGAGGATGAAAATCACTTTGAAACTGTTTTATTTTATTTTGAAGTGGGTGCACTAGAATCAGATGGGGCAACATTAAAATTTTACTTGTTGATTATAACGTGGGTTATATTTAAATCAAAGAGGATGAGATTATATTAAATTTTAATTAGATTTTCATAGGAGGAGGACTTAATATCACCTAAACTTTTAATTTACATTTAGGATTTAAAATTAACATAAGCAACACAAAATTAAGCTAGGGATGTCTAAGGATTGAAATGCATGCACTTGTTTTGCAGGGAAGATTTTGGGATTAAAATAATTTCTTATTTAAGCAGTTGGAAATATTACTTAGAAAACTGTTTGGTATTCCGCTGGTACTTTGCTTCCAAATACATTATTTCAAATGTCTCCTTTTAAAGTTTTGTGAAAGATGACAAAACACATCGATGACCGTCTCCCTGGCAAGGAGAGGCTGCAAGGTAACTTTTCCTACCTAACAGAGGTGAAACAATAAAGGGATGAATGGATGAATGCCAGTGGGTTTTTCGTAATCTGTGTATATGATTTTGTTTCATCATACAGAATAATGTTTCAATGACTGAATGAATATGTAATGTCTTAAAATGTATGGGATAATTTTTCACTTCCCACCATAAAAATTGTAGAAATGTCCTTTTATATAAGACTCATGTTGTCTCTGCCTGGCAGAGCTTTCCATCCAGAACTGCTTCATGATTGATTGTCCTACTCTGTATTGTGCACAATTCATAAATAAACCTGATTGAGAGATTTTACCTGAACAGTGCTTGGTAATAGTTTTTTTCCACAACAATGGACAAAAACATTAAAAGCTCTCAAGTAAAAGGCGTGGCGGTTTTAGCCAATGTTGGACCCATGAGCCAACATTTGCAGGCTAATATGCTAATATGCTATAAGCATATTATTATATTAAGACTTTTGTGCATTATCTGTTTAAAGAAAAATCAACCTGTAACCACATATGCGAGTAGTAAAGGCATACATGACACATGAAAATATACTGAAGATGAATAACTCACCTTTAAAGAAGCTCTGCTTCTACCAGTGTTCAAGTCCACAAACATCCTGGAAGCTTCCCGCACTTTACTACGCACTGCTGAGCTGAAGCATTCGCTCCAGTAACAAAAACAGTCAAATCCAGTTTACTCAAAATAACGTAGTCTTGTACTTTTCTCAGGCCAAACATGTACATTACTCACATTACTTGAGTTGAATAAACAATTTAGTGAGACTTGAGTAAAGCATACAAACCTAATTTAAGTAAGAATAGGTAAGCCAAGATACTGTGCAGAACCCTCAAGCTCCCAGGCCTCTGGTAGAGGACCAAGCTCAGAGGATGAAAGAGAGAGAGACCAAGAGAGAAGGGAATTGTTATGTTATGGTCAGCTTAACAAAATGTCTGAAATTTAAAATGTTCAAGTATTAAAGGGTGCTGTTTGTAAGAAGAGGAGAGAGACCATCCAACCGGCCAGAAATATCATCAAAAAGCTGAATAAATTGAAGAGAAAATGAAATACCCTAAAAAATCTGCAATCTCATCAGTCCTTTATGATTGCTAACATTGATACTATGGTAGCTGATATTCTATATATTATGCCGTTTAAACTTGAATGCATTAACTGCTGTAACTTGTGGGTAAACAGTGAGTGATTGCATGAAATAAAGTTGTCATGAAGGAAATTCTTTAGGTGGGATTAACCTGAACATGAAACAAAATAATATAATCCTAAAGGGAAAAAACATGATAGAATCCACATTGTTAATCTACATTTTAAACTTAAAAAGGAACAGGCAGATTTAAGAGGGTTTTCTGGACACAGAGATTCGATGTTTTGTGAAAATAATGAAATAGCTGCTGTAACTCTAGCTCACCACTAGATGTCAGTGTTTCCCTGACATCTCGTGAAACCCTGAAGCTGATTTGAATAAAGGTCGCTTTGATTTAAAAAGGCCACATTCTTTTACATTTAGTATTGGATTGACATAATATTGAAACAAGCAATCCCTGCATATCTAATCTTTAACAGGGACATCAACAAGAGGACTCAATACAGAACCACCTGGATTTAAAGTTTTTCTCTACAGCTGTCTCATTGTCTTGGCGACAGCTTTATATTTACTTTTCGGATTACAGTTCCGCTTCTTATCAACCATTAACAAACGACAAAGTGTGTGAACAACTAAAGGGATTGTTGACACACATGCGTCATGTGTTCTTTGCATTTCTTCCTCATTTTTGTGTGACCTTCTAAAACACGCTGACTGAAAGCCACATCAGCAAGTTTCCCAGTTATTGGTTTTGCACTGTTTCCTCAACAAAGTCTTGCATTTGCAACGTCATTTGATACGTTTATTTAAAAATTAAGTCATAAATAGTCCTGAACTGAAAGCACAATGCCCGCAATTCATTCTTGTCCAACCATGCAGTTGAACCGGTTCCCGATGTTCCCGGTAGATGCTCAGAGAATGAGACATTTGCTCCTTTAAAAAAATGTTTTCATACCATGTGGTCAGGTGTTGCATAACATTTACACTTCATGCCTAAATATTTTGATTATATTTTAATATGTGCTAATCAGACGCTGTTTAGCACACCTTTTGTGTTTTTCTCCAGTTCCAGACAAGAACTGTGTTCAAGCAATGTTTTGTAGAGCTCTTATACTTATAATTACAAACTAACTAAACGAGATGGTCTGACCTAACTCCCGCCCCCGGTGCACCAATGTGATGTCTGCCGCGGTAAGGTTAACACATTGACTTCTGCCCCCTAAAAACACCAAACATCACAGAACCTGTGAGAGGAAAATGAAAGATGAACATGTTGAGATACAATATCATATGTCTAAACAATGTTAACCTTTATTAAACAACACAGTGGACAAAAGCAATGTTGGAAAAACGGAGGGCAAAAGATTCAACAAGCCGTATAACAAGATAATTCACTGTTTCTGGCTTTGCTCAAAACTCTTGGTTTGTGGAAGGTAAAAACTGCAACAAGTCCCAAAGAAAAATGAGAATTATAAACACTGGCCATTAAGCAATAAAGGGACAGAAAATTACTCTGTAATTTACAATAAGGGCTTTAAAATGTAAACTGTGAGTTCTGAAATTCCCTGAATCCTCTCATTAGTTTTCTGGTATTAAACATGAAATACAAAAACATAACTACAATGTTTTCCTTAAGCCTTTAAAATGAGCTGGGAGTAATCAGGTGAAAATGGGACTTCATTGTATCTGTTTAATTGACTTGAGCTTCAGTTCACTGTACTCTCTACAGTAAACCCAGTTTCCACTGGGCAGATAATCAGTGGCGCTGTGTTCCTCCCATTGTCGTGAAGGCACGGATTAAAGTATGGGTACAGGGGCTCAGAAAAACAACATCCTCTGTAGGTGTAGATGTGAGTCTTTGCGTCAGCGTTGTAGAATGACACTGATCCTTCTTCGTAGTCCAGGAAAATGCCCACTTTCGTAGGGATTTCATGGAGGTTGAGGACGACGGAGGGTCCGGCGCAGGCCCGGAGACTCTCCCCCTTCCGCCTGCAGATCGCCCAGTAGCCGCTGTCTGGACGGACGGTTATGGAACCCTTCCTGTTAATGGACTCCTTGGCCACACCAAGATCCCAGTCTGTTTTATCCCCTACCTATTAAATAAATCAGAACACAAAATTAAACAACTGACAAGATTTCACAAGGGGATTCAGTTGGGTGAATTAGTCATCTAATTCAAAGGTCAAATCTTAAAACTCCTTGCTACATCAGACAAGATTCAAACCGCAATTCTCAACCATCTCTGAGTTATACATTGCATCCAAGTTAGCAATTCTCCTACACTGTGTGTCACTGTTCAGCAATGGTTGTGATTCTGTCAACCTCTTACCTTGACCACCCAGTATCGTCTCCCGGAGGTGAAGCTTTGTATCCCCAGAACGGCAACACAGGAATCGAACCTGCGAGAGTTATTCGGGAGCGCATGCTTTCTTTGTTGGGAGCTCAGGCTCACCTGTGGATAACCGTCATGATATTTGTTAGTCCAAAACTAACATGTCTAAAACTCTGAAGAGCTGGTTATAGTGAGGGATGATGCAGTCTCTCAGTAAAATGTACCTTTTTACCATCCGGGGACAGAAGCAGCCAGCTGGCAGCAGTCGCAGGGTCCAGAGTCACATCCACTGAGGATGGATAAATAAAAACAATGTTAATCTCTCTAAGGGTGACTTCACATCATCCCTGTTTAGTCCGCTTTAATCAAACTTTAGTTCGTTTATTCCGGTTCGTTCGGGGAGGTCAAATCGAACTGTGATGCGGAACATAAAAGCAAACTCTGGTGGAACTATGTGAACGGCAAAAGGACCAGGAACTGTTCCAAATGCAGGAAGCGAAACCAAAACCAGAAACCAAAACCAATGTGTGTCTAACACTAGCAGGAGAAATGTTTTGAGGTCCATTTTCATTCACATTTTATGAAGAAGGAAATTGTGCTTATGTCTTCTTCAGAGGTTCTTGGTACAGAGCCAACATTGTTCAAAAGCCAACATTGTTTGCTTGTTCACTCAGCAGGTTTCTCAAAGGGTTTGGTTCATCTGACAGAGGCGCAGTGTGAAAACAAACCGCAGCAGCTGAAGACGTTACAAAACAAATGTTGCACCTAATCAAACCAAGCCTACCAAACTATCAGGTCTGAAATTATTCTAAGTATCACTGAAGTTTTTCATGTTTGTCCTGGTAAACCCTGAACATTTTGGTTCAGTGTTAGAGAAAAATACATTTCCTTCACTACCTTAAAGCTTCATACTCATACCTGCAAATTTGACCATCTTGGTGACTTCTGAAAAGAAACGGGAAAAAACAATCGATTCAAACCATTTCATAAATCAACTTGGAAATGAGCAAAGTAAAATCTTCATGAAGGACTTCAGAGAAACATTGAATGCAATGTCAATTAATTAGTCACAGACCTTCAGCACAAAGGTTCTTTTCAAGTTCTTGGCAGAGGTCCACCAGCTTGGAGAAGGTCGTCCTCACGCGTCTTATGTAGATGTCGGGGTCAACACTGACCTCGGACCAGTTCGTTGTCGACAGCGGAGAGCTCAGACAGGGGAAGCTCTAAAATGATTCATTCAGTGAACACAACAAACACATTTAACAGGCAGAAACAAGCCTGGTATCGCTGCTGTCATGGCTACATCGGTGAAATTGACCTGGTATAATCTGATATATTAGATTGCGTTATGTCCTATCAGTTTAAAATGATCTTTTTGTGGTGATCAGTCCAGGTCTGACCTGCAGCAGATGCAGTGGATCCTTGGTGTTCTCCAGGTACTGCAGCTCGCTGCGTCTCCTCTGCAGTTCGCCGAGCTCCTGGTCGAGCTCTTCCAGAAGATCCTCGGCTCTCCGTTTCGCTGCTTCGTGCTTTTCTTCGAGCTCCTCGATGAGCAGAGCCTGGTTTCTCTCGATGGCATTTATTGCCAGGTTGACTACGTGAACACTGGTTTGTATCTCCTTTTCCTTCTCTATCTGCAAGTGTAGAGAAAATAAAAACCGATGTCACAGACTAAAGAAAAACAAGTTAGATGTGTAAAATTTTTTTTATTATTATTTCCAGAATGTGCGTAGAATTGTTCTTTGTGAATATATTGAAAACAAACTGCAGGTCCCACTGAGCACATTTATTCTGTTTTGATAAGACTTGTTGATAACTCAGCTCAGAGCTGGACGACACATATCAGTCTATTGATAATTGTTTAATAACGTGCTGAGTTTGGGTTATCATTATCTAAAAGCCATAACCATCAAAAGGCTTGGAACATATCACTCTATGTGTGACGGTTCTATAAAATATATTCACTTCCTGAGATGACTGACAACAAGGGTTTCACTAATTATTTTTTTAGCTGTACTAGAACATTTCAATCAAACACCAAGAACTCCTGATGATGTGTTGATATAGCAGCAGCAGTAATGATTGCAGATAATGCAATAAATCTATTGGACACCTTGACAGTATAAACATGCAGTGAAGTGAATTTGAACTGAACTAAAAGCCTTACCCTGCTCAGCTCCACGGAGTTCTTGATCTCCTCAGTCTTTTTCAGTCTGGTCTGGATCATCTCTTGAATCTCTGCTTGAACCGCCTTCAGCTGTGCCTGAACAAAAAAAAAAATTAAAGTAGCAGCACAGATTGTCTTAAAGACCAATAGAACTTGGTTCATAAGGTTATGAAATAAATAGTTTGGTGTAAATGAGAGTAAAATAAAACAACTTAGTTGGTGACAAAAGCCAAGCAATGATCCAGAACGCTGCTGCTGCTGCGTTCTGACTAAAACCAGGAAGATGGAGTTCTAAAGTCCCACTTTTGACTAGTAGTAAATGAATCATTGATCAGCATATTCTGTGTGTACTGATGATTTCATTGATGGCATTTGACAAAATTGTATCACTTGAATGATATTTTTATGGTGTAAAGTACTTTGAACTGCCTTGTCGCTGAAATAATACCTTAACCCGCCTGCTCTCTTTCTCCATAGGAACGACTTCGTGGTGCTTGTGGTCCCTCTCGGTGCAGCTCGCACACACGGGGGTCTGCTCCTTCTTGCAGAACATCTCCAGGGGCTTGTTGTGGTTTCTGCACAGGTGACTTGTGCTGAAGGTGGCCGGATCCGTCAGCCTGTGCTTCGTCATCACCGGATCCCTCAGGTGAGGCACCAGGTGCATTTCGCAGTAAGACGCCTGGCAGACCAGGCATGACTTCACCGCCGTCAGCTTGTCTTCGCTGCAGATGTCGCAAGTTACGCTGTCGGCTTTTAAGGACCGTCTGGAGGAGTTTTTCCTCGGCGCCGGCTCTGGCCTGCTTGCTTGTTTTCTCCTCATAGACCTTTTTGTCGTGACACGGAATTCGGGTTTAGTGAAATGGCAGAGCAACATGTTCAATGATTGTACAATATTGTAACAGATCCGTACCTTTTGAATTGTTCGGTAATGTCTTTTAAGACGATGTTGACCCTGAGGTCTGGACGGGTTTGGAAGCTCTCTTTGCACAGCGGACATTCAGACTTGTGGCTTGCGTCCCAGAAGCTTTTTATGCATTCAAGGCAGAAGTTGTGGCCGCATGGGATGGACACCGGATCGTTGAAGCTGTCCATGCAAATGACGCACAGGACTTGCTCCTCGGACAAAGCGTACGACATGTTTCTGGGTGGATAAAAAAAAATGACACAAGGTTACCTTTTCATGGAAGGGAAAGACAATCTAAAAAAATAAATAAATAAGAAGCATATTCTTCTCTATTACATGAAAAACTGGACCCTGAATTAGAAAAAGTTAACAAAATTACTCGTAACTAAACCATTTCTCAAAGGTACTATTCAGTA